CCCCCCCCCACCCCCCACCCCCCCCCCCCCCCCCCCCCCCCCCCCCCCCCCCCTCCCCCCCGGGGGGCGCCCCCCCCCCCCCAGGTCTACAAATGCATAGCATGCAGCATTTCCTGTTTTTTTCATTGTCAATATCTTATTTTGTTTTGTCGATGAGGAACAAGACCATTGTGATGATACGAAATCAGAAATGACAAGATTTAATATCAATCAAACTTTAGATTTTCGGTTCTGTTTTTTTGCTATAACTTAATTATATTCATATCTGGTTTTTTTCTCTAATAGAACACAGACAAAGACGTATATATTTCATATTTGTTTTTTTTTTTTTGCGTCTCAAATAATAACAACAATAAAAATGTACTGATTTAAAGAAGAAGACAAATAAAATAGACAGTAAATTAAATTAAATAATAGAGTAGTAGTTCATTTTTGACTAAGATAAGGAGTAGATAACCGGATTTTCTCTTCTTTTTTTTTTTTAAGAAATACAATAATGGAAAAGAAAACAATTTGTTTTTAATATAAGAAAAATAAAAAAAAATAAAACAAAAGATGAATAACAATATAGATAACTGACAGGAGCATTTATGTATATACCGAAATAAAGGAGAATAAGGCGAACCTCCTTTGATTCGGAGAGTGAAAGAGAGGGAACAAAAGACTGAACATATATTTTTATTTTTTATAATTCTTCATAATAAGACAAATATATTCTTTGCTATAGGATAAACTAATTTGATTGGAAAGTATATTTCTAATGTCACTTAATCCAATGTCAATTCACTGTAATAAAAAAAGAAAAGAATGTATACACACATATTTTTGTTCTAACACCATCACCATCATCATATATTTTCTTTCTTCTCATTCTCTCTTTCTCTCTCTCCAAAAAATCTCTCATCCCATCTATCCATCTATAACTAACGAGTGATACGATAAAATAAACATAATTAAACGTTACAATTCACATGTCATTTTCAATAATGTCATATGATTCGATTGTTTCTTCTGTAATAACAGGCATACGACTAGAATTAATTATATTTGATGTTGTTGTATTTTTTGTTGGCGATGGTGCTTGAAATGTTTGATAGACAATACAATAGACTTTATCACGTAATTTTTCCATATAAATACGTAACATAGCTAATTTAGATATACGACTAAAATTAACACTACTACCATGTTGTGGTTCTTTTTGAATAATTGTTTGAGTTGTTGTTGTTGATGATGATGATGATAATGATGATGGTAAACAAACAGAATTTCGTTGACTTAATATATGTTTAATAACGGCAGCATTTTGTGATGTTTGTTTTAAATATGTCCATTCAAATGATTTCATATCCATTAAAGATAAATGTTTTGCATTTAATGGTATAGTTATATTTTCATGTTGCCTTAATTCTGGCATACTATGATGAAAATTGGGTTGTGAAGAAAATGGAAATTGTAAATGTTGTGGAGCATAGAATGAGTCAACATCAAATGTCATACGATTATGAGACATTAAAGCTAAACGTTTAATTTTTAATAGTTCATCGATAGTAAAATTAGCATATTTTAAATAGGGATCATTTTCAAGAATATCTGGTTGTTGTAAATTTAATTCAGTGTTTATATCACCATTACGTGATTGTAAATAAAAAAAATCATTTAATTGTGATAAACGATCGGGTGTTATATGACCACCACCACCAGTAATACTACCACGATTACCATTAACATATCCACCAGCTAAAGATGCTTGGGATTGCATATCAAATTCTAAAAAACGATTTCGTAATATTTCAGCCATTTCATTTACATCATAACATGAGAGAGCATCTGTTTCAGGTAAATGACGTGTAAAATCTGATTTATCCCATTCTAAATCGGCAATATTTGAATTTGAATCACCAAGACCTGATGTACAAATAGATGTTGTTCGACTATATGATGGATGTTTAATTGATCGTCTTCGAAATATAATTGATGATGATGGTTCATGTTGTTGTTGTTCAATTGAATCAAAATAAGCGGCTACCGTTGGAGTTGAACTTGAACGGCTTGACAACATCATCACGTTTTTATAAACGATTAATATTGAGTATTTGTGAGAAAATGGTGTGTTGAATGTAACAGCTCTGTTTTTTTTTTTGAAAAAGATTTTTTTTTTCCTGATTTTTATCTACTAGAGAGATAGTAACAGCTGCAATCATTTCCTGTTTCTCTCCCTTTTCATTATTATTATTATTATTATTATGATTATTATTATGATTATTAGTTTTTTTTCTCTCTCTCTCTCTCTCTCTTCCAGTATCAATACTTTTCTCGTCGTCGTTTTACTCTTCACATATTATATATATCAAAAATGCTCTATACACATAAGAAATAAGCAAAAAAAAAAAAATGTCATATTCTTCTTTCTCAGATTTTCTACACCTAAGATGATCGAAAACAAAACTCAAAGAAGAAGAAGAAGAAGAAGAAGAAAAAAAACTCAATTAAATACACATAGTCATACAAAGCTATTATTATTCTAAGTGAAAAATAAAAAAATAAAAAAAAATAAAAATTTTTTTTTTGTTTTTTTTTTCTTCTTCTAATAGTTTATACGTAAATAAAAAATTAGAGAACAGATGCAACAATAAAAAACAAAAAAACAAAAAAAAAAAAAAAATGAGCAATAAAAATAGAAAGAAACATGATTGTTTTCAGATTCGAGAAAGAAGAGTATAGGGTGAAACAGCTGAAAAGAGTCATCAAATGAAATTTGAATGAATTAAATAAAAGCGGTATATAATCTATAGAAAGTAAAAGTCAAGTGATATACTGTTTTATATGTAAAGAAAGTATTGATCAATTTTTCTTTTAACATTGTATATACTACATGCATACTGTCAAGTTCACAAAATGTCAAAAATTCAAAAAAATTGATTAGCTAACATCTGTTTGTTGTATTTGAACAACTATTTGTTTTTTTTGTTTTTTATGTTCCTGTTATTAATGTCTCTATTATTCATTTATGAATTCAAATGGAAACTCAAAGTAATCAGAAATTCATTCGTTCATTCTTGTTTTTTGTCTGAAAAACTAGAAAATGATTAGATCACACACAAGATGGTTAAAGTAATTACTCTAGATTCTCTTCTTTCTTAGTGCATTCAATTACTTTATAAAATATAAAAAAGATTTTTTAAATCATTAACATTTTCTGTTACTTCCGACAAACAAAAACGAGAAAGTATCTTCCTCCCCCTCCCATCTCCCCTTCCTCCGCTCCGTCACACTTCCATTTTTGACAGATGAACATTGTATAACATGGTATCCAATAGAGATTTGATTTTTAGATAATAAATTGTTGTATACAATTGGAATATATCTCCTATATAATTCAATTGTAAAAATTATTCTAAATAGTTAATGATTTGTTTGAATTAAATCAACTTTTGTATACACTTTCATGAAGACTATTGCTATGTAACACTCATAGATTCGTCATTCATTTAACATCTATTTAAAAACACTTTATAAGTGTATTGACCTTTGTTTTGTTTTGCATGATCTTGTAGTTTAAAGTGCGAAAAAAATTTGTAATTTTCACTTTTTATAGAAAACTTTAGATATTTCCTTTACATTTCCCGTACTTTAAGGTTTATCAATGCGTAAAACGTTTATAAATCGACTACCTTTCTATAGAGTTTTGATGTGTTTTGAATAAGTGACAAATTTTCTCATTTTATATATTAACAAGTAACGTTTGCTAAATCTCTTTATGTGTAAATGATAGATCACTCTCTCAGAGTTTTATAAAATGAAAAATTAAGAGTTCTCTGGAGACCTTCGAGAAGATCCCATGAATCTTCTGAATTAAGTATAAACTTCTTTTTTTTTGGCACTATCCTAGACTGATCTCAAGAGAAAATTCTTTTCTTTTCTTTTCTTTCTACGTATACGTTATCTTGTGACAGGCAGCCAGACATTTTTGGTCTGATTTCATGATTCTTAACTTATACAATCAAGAAAATAGCAATAAAAACATGTATATTGTAAATCATAGTAGATTTTCTAAAATGAAAAAAAAGACTTTTAAAATCTATTTTTTCATGAAGTAGTTCATTCACTTTTGATTTTCACTACTGATACGTTATCGAATACGATGTCAAAAATGTTTGACAATGACAAACTATGCCATATTTTGAAATTGATAATCATTTTTATTATATCGATACATCTCTTAACATCATGATTACTCTTAATGATCTCAAAATAAATCTATTATAGACAAAAAAGATATTATAAAGATTTTTAATATTTAATTGTCTAAAATCGAAATAAACTTTTTGCTTCTGAAAACAAAAAAATTAAATTTTAAAATTTAAAAATTAGTGAGAAATTTCACAAAATATTTTTTTTGGGATTTCATGATCTAGAGAAAAGAAATAGTCTATTATACGTGAACATTTTCATGATCAATGGTAGTTATTTAAAAAAATATTTAGAATCATATTCAATTACATCAGTGTAGAAAAAAAAGATTATTATAAATATGAATCACGAACAGGATATATCTATAATTAAATTCTGAGAAATTCTATGTTTTACAAATAAACATACAGTTTTCAAAAAAATATCTTTTATGATCTTTAAAATTATTATTTAATAAAGATTTTATCGAAAGTGATCCTATTCAAAATTAAATCTATTTTTATACAATAGATGAAATATTATAAAAATTGATCAAATTCAATCATTTAAATTATATTTCTAATAATAAGATTAGATATAGAATATATTAAAGATAAAATGTCACTTACTTGATTTAATTGTGTAACTGTTCGAACAGCATCTATCCATTTGACTTTTGATGGTGATAATGATGTTAATATTGGTACATTATCCGTATTCTCTAATACTGAATTAGTCGATAGTAAATTTAATTGTGTTCGATCACTACTAATTGTATGTAAAGAATTTTCTTCACTATAATCTTCCGTACCTTGACGACTAATACCTTGTGATGATATAAAACTTCCAACGGGACTAAAAATAGATAAAATAAAATAAAATATATAAAGAGAAATAATCTTGAAGAAAGAGATTGAGACATATAATAGACATTAACACATTTTTTATAAGTATAAAATATATATCAAACTCTCATGTCTAATATTATCTAAACGATGTTGGTCTGATCAATTTACAACACAAGAGAATAATTTTCATGCCACTACTTTTTATATGCCTAATTTAGAAATATTATTCATCGAATAAAATGGTACCAATCAGCTATTTTTGAACAATTCAAGAGAGCAACAAACAAGAGCACAACAAAATTCTCTCATCGTCAATATGTTGAAATGCAAATCTCGTGATGTTTTTTTATGACCACAATTTTTTACTGAGTAGTTTTTATTAAATGCTAAGTTAATTGCTACTTTAGTAAGCTATATTTTGTGTAACTGAGGACAATGAGGGGGAGGGTGCGTAGAGAGCATGAGAGTAAGCCACTAAACCACATTTCTGCTGATTTCTCAAAAAATATAATTATTTTTAATAAATTATTTAGAAAAAAAATAACTTTTTACGTAGCATTTAAATGGGAGCCTTTTATTTTTTATCATAGATGGATAGGATAAAGTGTTCTTGTCTAAATGAAAGCCATGCGTGATGCTTAATTTTCAGCAATTCAAACATTTCTTGAATCTTGAGAACTGATATCGGATGAATTGTAATCACTTCTGACCCTTGAATGAAATAGTCATCTATACAAAGGTAGACTCTAGGAGAAATAGTCGTTTTGAAAAACTTCAAATATTCAAGATATTTTCCCTATCTATAAGGGAATGTTCCCTTTCAAAAAACATAACGGAAACTTTTTCAAACATTGTATCTAGAACAAGAAATATTGAACATGATGGAATGTTCCGGATGCTTTTTTAAAAAATATATTTTATCTTTATGATAAATTTTTTTTGATTAAATGTTTCCTTCGTGATATTTGTTCTTCAACCAACTACTCTTTTTTTTTTTTTTACTAGATTTAAATTAAAAAACCTCTAAATTTCAGTGTATATGTAATTCGATGTGCTCTATAGAAACTTCAAAAGATGTTTAACTTGATATGCTCTGACAAAGTATGAGTACAATTTTTAAGAGAGAGAATATTCCGGAAAAAACCATCTTAAACACTCTGATTTTAATAAAACTCTGTTTTGTACCTGGATTTTTGAACACTTTTTTTTTTATCTTATCTGATGGAAAAAATTTTGTTGAAGTTTCACGGACATTTGAGTCTTGCACGTACAACATCAAATGCGTGGTTACGTGTGAACTTTTTATAATTTCACACCCGTTCACAAGCGAGAATTTCTTTTCACATCTATCCACATACCATTTGACGACTTTCATTAGTGATCACATGTGTAATGGTTCTGTGAACAGTTCAAGCATTGTTAAAAGTGAAATATATTTTTCACGCGTACCCACACAACCATTTTACGATGATCACATGCGACCACAGTTCATTTCACGATATTCACGGATGTACACGCCGTTTTATATACTAAAATTTCCCCATGGGATTTAGTTATGATAAAAAAAGATGATTAAATTTATATTTTGAGCTATAAGCGGCTTTTTCACAGATCTCCTCATAAACATTCTTGAAAAATCGATGTTAATCAGAGATGGACAAATCCAAGTTCGTACTGATAGATTTGTTTACACGGACTAGAACTGAAATTGAATTCACTCTTTTATCTTTTTCATGTTACTGCGTGATCGATGATTAAAAGACGGCTATTTGTTTTTTTCCGCTAATTCCAGTGTAGAGAAAAATTCTTAGCTGGTTGTCGCTAACGATCTGAACGAGAATGTAAAGAAACAATATCATTCGATGAAAATACCAAAAAGAGGCATATAATCACGTAAACGAATCGAAAAAAAAAGGTAGACATGAACTGATTCTGGCCTGAACATTTTCGAACTAGAACTGAAAAACTATTGGATTTGCCTACCTCTGATTTTAATAACTGTTTTACTTTTAAAAAGATAAATTGTGAAATAGAACTTAATAAAATTAGAAAATGAATTTTTAACACGACTAGTAGTGCGATATAATTTGATAGACAAACATGTGAAATGGATCGGGAATCGAATTCAAGACCCTTTGATAATAGGCCAAAAGCTTTAATCTTCTATGTGAACTGAGACTATGTGTTAGATTGTACTTCGGTTTACCAGAGGAGTCTACGTTCGGGACATAGTTTCTTTTCACACATTTGTCTATCAAATTATGTCTCATTTTTAGTTGTGTTAAAAATTCACATTCTAATTTTGAAAGATGTTATCGAGAAAACTCGTACATTCGAACTTATTTTCTTCTTTGAATTATTTCAGAAAATAAAAACAACAATTAAATTTCTAAGTTTTTTAATGAATAGTACAACAAATACATTATGATTTTAGAGAAAAAGTCTATTGTTTATGAAGAAAACAATTTTGTCTATATCTTATTTACTCTTTGACAGTGATTGATATATTTTAGAAAAAAAAAAAAAAATATTTTTTTTAATCTACATAAAAATATCTGACTCGTTTGTTTTTGTTGTATTCTTTTTTTTTTTCTTTCTCCTTCTAATGGTACTAGTTTACTCTCTCATACGATTATAAATTAATGAATATATTACATACACAATGCACGAACATATCTCTATATAAATTATATTCTATTTTCTTTATTCATATGATAATCTTACATTTAGTTCTCTTGATAAGTACGTGTCATACATGAATTAACTGATTCAATCAATCAATTTTAAATTATTTTTTATTTGTTTTTTTTTGTTTTGTTTTGTTTTATTAACAAAAAGTTTAATCAAATAGAATTTTATTTATAGTAGAAAATTTTCTCCACTATTTGATACAAACATTGATCAATATTCTGTGTCAAAAACAAATATTAAATTGTTGTTGTTATTTATGTTGAATTAAAATAATCGTAACGAAATTACGTTGTTATTTTTCGATTCCGACGGTAATTTCTCAGTCAGTTAATCTTATCAAATCTGTCTAATCACGTGTACTCGACAATTTTCGAAAATTTCTGTTACATTTGAATATAGTCACAAAGTCATTTCGAAATAATTTAAAGTTGTCAAAAACTTTAGCTAATCTCCATTCTTAATCTGAAAACTTTTGCTGGCAACTTATGCTGTTGAATAGTCCATGGGCTCTATCCATGTCATCAAAATCGCCTAACTTTTGCCGATTAATCGCGCTTTTTCTGCTGACTTTCCATAGTGATAAGCCAAAAAAAATCGGCGATTAGATTAATTAGATTTTGGGCTTGTCACTATGGAAAACCAGCAGAAAAATCACGATTCTCAGTGTATGTTTTTATTGTACGTGAGCCTATGTTTTTAGTATGTATATGTGATAATCAACTTTTCTTTTTGACTATTTTCAACATGTAATGAGCCCGCCCGCATTGTTGAATCAAATCGCGATTAATCACCATTTTAAGTCAACATCGCGATTAATCGGCAAAGTTAGACGATTTTTATGACATGGGTATCGAATGAAAAGAGAAATCATTTTTTATATCTCCAAAATGAACGTCTAAATAGTTCACGCATTTTTACAAATAACTCTATTTTCACAAGTCTTATTTTCCCTCTTACGAATGAATGAGATTTAAATTAATATGAGATTATTGCCATCTTAAAACACATTTCTCTGTTTCAATCATGTGCTTAAAATCTAAAAACTAATGCAAAACAAATAGGAGAAAAAGTCAAATGCGAAAACTTCGACATAAAAAAGACGATAGTTACGTGAAAGGGTTTTATTACTGTTTAATCTCTTTTTTTTTAGTAAATATTTTCCAACTATGATCATCAATATCAAATTTTATTAATGTGACATATTCTAAAAACATCATTTCTACGTTTTCATTTCATCATCAATAAAGAATTGAACATTTTCAAAAACAGAAAATTTTGAAATACAAATAAACGAGTTAGACTCTCTCTCTCTCTCTCTCTCTTTTAAAATTCTTGTGTGTATTTTTTTTTCTAGAGTTTATTTTTCATTTTTTCATAGACAAAATTTGCTAATTCTTTTGAATGTTTTAAAACAAATGCATGCTCATATTTATTAATACATTTTTTAATATCTCCATGTGGATATAATATTTTCATTTGATCATATATCTCTTCAGGTACCCAATGATCATTTTTACCATAATAAAATGTTATTTTTGATATAAATTTTTCAATTAAATTATGTTGACATTTTTGAACTATTAACATTTCTTCATTTGACATTGATAACATTTGATAACATGTTTTCCAATTAAATAATGTTAATGTAGCATCAATTATAGCTTGACGATCTTGTTCAGGTGTTTGATTAAAATAATATTTTAATATTTTTAATTTAATAAAATTCGGTAATAAAAAATTAAATAAATAAATAAGAAATGGTATAAAAAATCTTAAATATGGAAATAAATTTGTTAAACGTTGACCTGATGGACTTTGAGACATACGTTCAATTGTTGGAAATAATAAAAATGAATGTTCAATATTATGAAATTTTTCTAACATATTTAATATCATATAGGAACCAATTGAATGACCAATTAAAATTAAACGTGTTTTTAATCCAATATTATTTTCAATATATGATAATTTATGATTAATTTGATCTTGTAAATTATACCAATAACGTTGTTTGGAATTTGAACATAATGTACCTAATATCAGGAAAAAGATTAAATTGTATTTTTACTTAATATATGATTAAAAAAAAAGCAAAGATATTCAATTATAAAAATATTTCTTGAAAACAAAATTAATTAAAATAATCGAAATAGGAATACCTGGTGCATGACCGGCATGTGAAACAATCGTAATTGTTACTTGTTTTTGACATAAATTATATAAATGATTAGCAAATGGTATATAAAATCCTCCAATACCAGGATTACCAGGTATAATCATAATAACTATTTCATTTTCTCTTATATTTAATGTATCATTTATAGTATCAGGTTTTACTATTGATGATGATGATGATGATGAATTTGTAATACGATGTTTAACATTAATAATATTATCTGTTTGAATTGTTGTTTTATTACCAAGTAATTCATAGACATGTGTAGGAATACCACATATATTAACTAATGATAACAATGGACGAGATTGTATCATTTTTGTTTGACGTAATTTTATAGTAATGAAAAAAACAAGAGGAAAAAAACAACAACAAATAAAAAAAATCTGAAAAAATAACACACAGTATAAATCATTTCTAGGTCATTTAACAATTTGTTCTCCATTTTTTTGTTGTTTTTTTTTTTTGTTTTATACACACATATGTCTTAGATTTATGAATGTCAAGATCTATTTTACAAGTAGAGAGTTTTTCTAAAACAGAAAATTGACTATGTCAATGAAACATTATATATTGTGTCAATCATAGATTTTTTTTTTGGTTTTTGGTTTTTATTAGAATTTTACATAGAATTGAATTTCACTATAAACAATAAATGGATGATAGAACCCATAGGCGACGGGTGCATCTTGAAATTAGAGTATTTTCTTCTCCTTTCCCATCGAACTTTTATTGAACAAAAATATCTCCTGTGCTGTTTTTTTTTCTTCTCGAAAAGTGAATGAATAGTGTGAAAAGTGAAAAATAAGAATGAGAAAAGATCACTGAATGTGTATCTAGTCGTGTATATATGTTTTTTATTGTAAACTATGGCTGATGATGATTACAGATCGTAATCGAAAGCTTCGGGTCTTTTGAAATAAAAAAAAAAAAAAAAAAAAACATTTATTGTTTTTGTTTTTAACAGTTGGCAGAAACTTTCACACCCCCATATAAAAGTTCCATAAAAAGAAAAAA